ATATATATATATATAAGCAGGTTGGAACGGGTCGTGTCAATCAAACCAGCACACAATCCGCCGACAAGGAGGCGAGCAGCCACTTCTGGGAAAGCATGCAGCTGCCCCAACTGCCCCTCGACAACAGCAGGCTTTGCCACTGCAGGGTCGGTAACCGTAGAATCCAGTGCCACCAGAGCCACGACACAGCACACACCATGAGGGTGTAACGTTGTCCCAACGCGCCGCAGGGCGGTGCCACAAAATTAGGGGTCTCAAGGTCAGCCTCTCTGGTTACCGCTGCCGGTCCTGCCAATGCTGCGGCTGCCACACCTGTGCACCAGGGCCACCTGTTTGAAAGTTCACCACCAACCCCCCAGCTGAGGCAGTGGTGGCAGGTTTTGTGTTCTGTCTTACACAGCCTGGTGCCAGTGACAGACGCCGCGCACGCAGATGCAGCATCCGATGAAAGGCCGCGCGCGCCCACCCCCTTGCGGCGCAGCTGACGACGGGCGTGCGCCCAAGGGCGAAAGAGCGGGCGGCGGCGCGCCGTGCCGCGGGCGGTTGCGTGATGCGCAGGGCAGCCCCAACACACCGCAAGCCACGCCCGGCAGCACAGCGGGCCGAGCATCAAAGCACACATGAAACGAGGCGCGCAAGTCGCATGCATCACCCAATGCGCGCAAGCCGAACCCAGCAAGGCCATCCGTGACGAGCTGCGCCAAGTAACGGCCGCAAGCCGCCCACACGCGCCAAGCACCACCAAACGGCGCCAAGACTGCGCCCCGGGCGCGTCTCCGAGCCCCCCGGTCCAGTACTCCTCGCCGCCTAGTACTCCTCGCCCTCGTCCTCGCCCTGGCCCTCGGCGCTGTCGGCGCCCACCTCCTCGTAGTCCTTCTCCAGCGCCGCCAGGTCCTCCCTCGCCTCGCTGAACTCGCCCTCCTCCATGCCCTCCCCGACGTACCAGTGCACGAACGCGCGCTTGGCGTACATCAGGTCAAACTTGTGGTCGAGGCGCGAGAAGACCTCGGCGACGGCGGTGGAGTTGGAGATCATGCAGACGGCGCGCTGCACCTTAGCGAGGTCGCCGCCGGGGACGACGGTGGGGGGCTGGTAGTTGATGCCGCACTTGAAGCCGGTGGGGCACCAGTCCACAAACTGGGCACGGGGATGGGGGATGAGGGGGCAGGCCAAGTCAGGGGGCGTCAGAGAACTGCTGGCAGAAGTTACTGGCAAACGTGCAGGGAGGCAACAGCTACACTTGACGACCCGGGCAGCTGTATGGCTAGCCTAGCCGCAGCGGAACGGCTCGCTGCGGGTACATCCAACGTGCACCAACCCGAGACGATGCTTGAGCCCGGGATCACCCCTGCCCATCATGCCACCAACCCCGCTTCCCCCACCTGGATGGTCCTCTTGGTCTTGATGGTGGCCACCGAGGCGTTGACGTCCTTGGGCACCACGTCACCGCGGTACATCAGGCAGCACGCCATGTACTTACCTGGGGGAGGACGGTGAGAGCGGGATGTTGTGTGTGTGAAGGAAAGGGGTGAAAAGGTCGTCAGGGCTGACCAGTCAAACGAGGCGTGCATCAACACTGCAAGTCGACACTGCCTGCTTCAATGCCTGCAAACACACACACACACATCCACACTATCAAGCCGACCGGACACACCCCTTAGCATGCAGCCGACCCCTCTCTGCCCTGACCCTACCCCTGCCCAATGCCCCGCCAGCTCACCGTGGCGGGGGTCGCACTTGGCCATCATGCTGGCGGGCTCGAACGCGCTGTTGGTGATCTCGGCCACCGACAGCTGCTCGTGGTAGGCCTTCTCCGCGCTGATCACGGGCGCGTAGGAGCTGAGCATGAAGTGGATGCGGGGGTAGGGCACCAGGTTGGTCTGGAACTCGGTGATGTCCACGTTGAGGGCGCCGTCGAAGCGCAGGGACGTGGTCAGGGACGAGATGACCTGGGCCACCAGCCTGGGGAGAGGGAGGGGGTGAGGGGTGAGTGGTTGGGGGAGGGGTCAGTCAAGGGTGGTGCCTGTGAGTGAGTGTGTGTCGAGGGAGCTGGGTGGTGCGTGTCGGGTTCAAGGTATTTGGACAATTTGGTGCAGCTAGAGTGGTCATGTAAAACACTAAGATCGGCGTTGGGCGCGCAGAGGAGTCCGTGGTCGAGGGCAAAGAGGATGCGGGCTACCAGATCGTGCGACTCGAACCCCTGGGTCCATGATTTCAGAAAGCCACCATCCCAACAGCCCCCCGCCGCACCCCGCCCAGCTCCCACGCCCGCACCTGTTGAGGTTGGTGTACGAGGGGCGCTCGATGTCGAGGGAGCGGCGGCAGATGTCGTACACGGCCTCGTTGTCCAGCATCACGGCCACGTCGGTGTGCTCCAGCAGGGAGTGGGTGGACAGCACCGAGTTGTAGGGCTCGACAACGGCGGTGGACACCTTTGGTAAGGGGGCGGAGGGGTGGGGG